CATGCGAGGTGCGGCAAGCAAAATTAGTTTGGTGTTCAGCGCTCAAGGGCCCGGACAGCCATTCGATCATTCTGCCTCAGGGGGCCAGGCAACATCGAGTCATGCACTCTTCATCAACTCCTTTCGTTTTTTCTCGCCCGGCGACCATCTTCGTAGTCCAGTGTTTCTTGCGGCTCTTCAAGTAACCCTTATTTGGTGCTTTGGAATGGTGTTGTGAGGGGAGAGGGAAAACACCCAAAAGGACCAAACCACCGCGCTCCAACCAATTTGGGGGAAGCTGAGCTTTCAACGCAGCAGCCCCTGAAGGCCCCCAAAGCCATGAGCTTCTCTTAAAGAATAGATGGCCCTGGCAAATGCTTCGAACCAAACTGAAACCAGTGCCATCTATTCTCAACCAAACTCCTCAAATAAGCGCTCCTGCAATCCCGCTCAATTTGGGGAAAATTGACATGCTTATGTCTGCGAACCTAAAACAGAAACATGACGCCCCCTGGAGAAAAAACAACAAAAACATGTCCAGTCGTGATAGTTTCCCATTAAAACCCAAACAAAAGGAAGGTAAACAATTTCTTATGCAAATGGAATGACTCGCCTCGGTGTTTCTTTTTTGCGCGCGCGCCTCTACAGGTCTCCGCCTCTAGTGCCAGAGACAGGATCTCCCGCCCCGACTCGGAGCGACAATCTGGGAAAAGGCCGCCTCAGCGGCGCTGAAAACGGGAGAAAACCCGGACTCACCTCGAAGGTGTCCCATGTAACCCGGATAAAACCCGTATCTCAGTATAGGCGTGCCTTTTTTCGGGGACGCACTAAAATGGGTTCGGCTTTTCTTTGGGATTCCCCGTTTAAAGCCACAAAACAACGGTACAACTCAAAAAACGACAGACCGATATGTTCAATCGCTTTGTGCGCTCACAAGCTTTAGGCACCAAACGGTGAGATGCTAGCCAAGGTAAAGTTGCTTGGGTCGGTAGGCAGGGAACGAGTTGGAATGGCTCCCATGCACTGCCGTGAGGATCCATTGATTCATTCTCAACTGATTTACAGAAAACCAGAAAAATGACTCTCAACCCCCGAAAGCAGGTTTCCAGAAAACCAAAAACTTGTTTAGTTGTGTGCTTTCCATGGGAAACACAATTCCTTCGCAAGAAAAAGGGAGCCGATGCCGAGCAAACATCTTAACATCTTCTGAGTTCTCCGCTACCTGCGGTGTCGATGACGGATTGTTCATCCACTTCCGTCAATAAGCATCTCCTCGGCGAAACACGTGACACGATCGTTTTGCGACACACGGAGTGTTCAAATTTGCCAAAAATTAAAGCAGCCAACAAGAATTAGTTGCATAGGGAACATGAGCTTACAAACAAGACTAGATATATCTACTATGAAGCACTGTAAGTCATAGACCCACTATTCCTCGAAGGCAATTCTGGCCTCCGGGGAAAAGCAGCGGCCCATTCCCGGCCAAGCCACCTCGCGTCCATCTCGGGTCCTCCTCACGCAAGGAATGCATCTGCTTGGCCGAAGACATGCCCACCTTCTTTGGAAAGGCCGCTGAAATGATCGTCCAAAGTTGCGCACCAAAATCCACACTCACAAAAGGCCCATAGCCCATACTCTCAAAACCAACAACGCTATCTACTCTTGCCATGCGAACCTGGCGGGGGCAAGAGCAAAGCCAACGAGTCGTGGCAAGAGAAGCCAAACCAACGTGGACCGCCAGGAATGCTTCTTCCGGCATTTTCCCCTGGCGTGAAGCCGCCGCTTTTTGCAAATGCCCCGGGCCCTGGTCAAACGAAGGTCAATCTGGTCAACCACGGTCTACTTAGCACCAGATCACAACGCCTTCTTTGAGGGTACCCATTGTTTCGCGGTTCTTACGGGAAACCAGAAGGAAAAGCACACGCTTTTGGCCTCCCAACAAATGCGACAGACCCAAATATCCGCCCCATGGCCCATGTTGCTAATTCCATGTTGCTAATTTGGCTCTGCCTGAAAACCCGCTCAGCCAAACGACAACTCATACCGCTAAAGGAACTGGAGACTCAACAGAGCCTTGACTGATCGTAGGACGGGTCAGCGTGCCGCGCCCAGTTGACCCGAAGATGTGAGGATGAAGTCAAGTGAAGTGAAGTGGGATGGTGTCTTCACCACAAAATATCAGGTTTACACTCCAACGGGTCCATGCTGGTGCCGCATAGCACCACAAACATGCTGCAGTCCCCTTCTTTTCACCCACTTCGCCAACCTCTGACCTCTTGCTTGGGTCCTGCTTGTGCCGCTTGCGCCGCTTGTGCCGCTTCAGCCAGAAGCTGCACTGCTGGCTTGGAAGGCCTCGAGCCGACTTTGGCCCATCTCCTTTTTAGACGAGGTCCTCCCGTGGAGAGGTTAGAATAAGGGTACCCTTTCATGACTTCTTGTGTGGTCTATTTCAGGGGAAGCCTCCGCCAAAAAAGGGTAAAAGGGCACTACTGGGCCTAGTAGAGGCTTGTTCGCCTTTTCAGAGGGCACCCCAGCAGAGATCAATTCGCGAATTCTTCATCTTGTCTAAGACGGGCTAACTTGTCCAACTGGAAAACAGACCAAGAACTGCATCGAATAAGCTTGTACCCGCTCTAAGCTGTACAACAGATAGCCTTGTCAACTTCAAAGCAGTGAGAGATCGACCCAAGCCAATTATGTGACTATCATTATGTTGGTTCTGTATTTGTTGCATGATGGTACCGTTCAGCACATGCCAGTGACAGTGCAAAGACTGGTCCCCATGTTCCCCCACAAAGAATACACGGCGCAATACAAAATGGATCACCTGCTGTAATCCGCGATAATCGCATGATAGGATGAAGACTAATATCCATACCACAATCGAACGTCATACCATGCGGCATATTGGAATCAATTAGACATCACATGAACCAGGCCAGGAGTTGCCGTGGCCATTAAAACAAACATGTTCGCGATATTCGGGTATGATCAAGATTAGCCTTTGTGCTGGTGGTCTTCGCCTACTTTGCTTGCCATGCGCCAACGTTTACAAACGTAGCACTGCTCAACGTGCCATGTTACGTGTTGCATGTTTGCATCCGGTTTTTGATAGCCTTGCTTGTGTTACAGCTCGTCAGCTCTCTACAAAAGGTATCCGACTCCGTCTCTCAGATGCATTGCCTTTGTGTGACCCGAGCCTGAGCGCAACCATCTTCACAGCAAAGGAAGCAAGACACTGGCAAGCAAGTAGCAACATCATCCCATGAAGACCCAAGGAGAATACCAAGCAAACAAGGGGAACAAGGCGAACAAGGCAACCAAAACAACCAAGCACTCAAGCTCAGACTGCCAAGTGAAAGAGATCTAAGCGCCCGCGCGGACGGATCCGTTCCAGTGAGGAAAGCCCACGACCGCCCTGATTTGCACGCCACTTCTCAAGTGACTAGCTGACCACACATCCACAAATGAGATTACCTCAACATAGGAAAGCCTCCAAGGGGGTTGAAATCCTTTTCGATACTCTGTAAACCCAACCTGAACATGAGTCCCTGAAAGCAGGACACATCCAAATAAACCAGCCACAACAAGGCCGAAGCAACACGGACTTCACGCTCTGCCGTGGGACTTGTGACGGTCGAAAAGCTCAAAAGTGAGCCTTATGGAGCCACGCCAATGGATCAAAATCTCCGCAATCCGAGGGGATGTTGACTCAATCGCCGGCAACAAACCTTACAAATACGGCAGTGTTTCTTCGAAGGCAGCCGAAGAATCACTCATGTTGACCACCTATTCATCAACCCCAGTTTGTTAATAGGGGGGTGTCCCTAAGTTCAGTGGGGAGTCGGAGTCATCACTTTTGGAGGGGAGCACCCCCTATTGATAAACTGGGTGGATTGGTAGGGGGTCAACTGTATGTTTGTCTGAGGGCACCGCCCTTTGAGTTTTTGCCAGAAGAATCACCCAAGTTCGCAATTTTCTACAAATACATCGGGGACAGCTTCGGCAGGGCGAACAGACACCTGCTCACAGGGCTACGTGTCAAAGTACGAGGATCCCAAAATGGATCTTGGCTTTCCTTTTCCCTTCGAAGCAAGCTGAAAGAGAGTGTTTTCTTCAAAACAGTCAAATGAAAAAAGGTCTTGCATGAAAAGGTGGTACCCCCTTACATTCCCTTTGAAACAAAAGGAGAAACAATACAATACTATTGGAAAAGGCCCATCTTGCCACAGCTGAATGGGCCACTGCCAAAAAAAAGCGGCGCTTGCACGCCGCCGCTCCGACCTCCGAGCGTTGCGAGTCTTCCTTGCCATCCTCGGATGGCACCGCGACAGAAGTCGCTTCTGACAAAACACCAGGGGCTTCGTTTTTTTGAGGGTACGCCACGACGTGGGTCTCTTTGAGGCTACTCCATTTTTCTGGGTGTCTAAACGGAAGCCGAAAAGGAAAACCACACTCTCAAATGGGACCTCCCAAAAAACAAAAATAATAACACAAAAACAAACAAAACAACACGCACCCATACTAGGTCCTCCAGTAGAGGTTAGAATCAAGATACCCTTTTTCTACAGTCTATTTTAGTTTGGGAACCCTCCCAGCCAAAAAAGGGTGAGAAAGGGCGCTGCTGGGGGACCTAGTTGAGGGTACGCTCCTGTCCACAAACATGGGACCTGACGTTTCGTTCCCGGAAGACCATGTTCCGAAATCACATGGAGCCTGTGCTGGGGTCCATGTTTGTGGGGAGGACCCTTTTTTAGGTTGGTTTAAAGTGGAACCAACAGGGGACTGTCCTCCAAGCTTCTGAAGTTGACTCGGGTGAGTGGGACCGGGAACTAAACAGGCACACTGGAGAAAATAAACCAATCCATTCTTGGTGTTTGAGGAACTGCAATTGCCCACCACGGCTCCATCTCCTTCACTCCTTTCGGCTTCGGCGGAGGCCGCTCCTGGCTTCTTTTTGGAAATCGCGGCTCATGGTTGCAGCTGATGAAATACATGTATGTATGTATGTATGTATGTATGTATGTATGTATGCATGCATGCATGCATGCATGCATGCATGCATGCATGCATATAATATATCATGCATACATTTATCATATACATATAGATATATTCAAGTCTTGCCAACACCGTCAATGATTCAAGCTCAAAGCCATGTCAACACACGATATCTCACATCTCATGCAGAGCTCGAGCAGTGCAGAGGAGTTTAAGAATCAACGCATCCCAACCTGAGAGTAGCCGCAGTTGATATTTGTTGTACCGGCAGAGGACATCCCCTGGTCCACTGGTACATGTCAAGGGCATGTTCAGGTATGGTTTTGGGCTTGGTGTGGATCATCAATATAAGCTGGTAAGGCAGTATATGGGTATGAGTCAAAATAAAACCACCAGGGGACCGCATGCTTTAATCTTTGGTTCCATTTACCAGGGTTCATTTTGGGCACGAATTCTTGACCCACAGCCATATATCCCTATGGGTGGTATATAACCTCCATACCATCAAACACCCGGAAAGTCCCTTGACCCCTTCTCCAGCCTTCCGCCTGCAAAGGCGATCGACCAACTCCTGGATCCGTGTGAAAAGGATGCATGGCTCATCGAAATGGGGTCCCCAAAATGGCGCTCCTGCTGGATCACTGGCACTGAATAAGCAAGTGCTGGGGTAACTCAAGCGGCGCAAAGAAAAAACGAGGGACGTCCTTGCTTGTTTACTCCGCAAAGCACCCTCCAGGGACCAGCATGTCATATGGAAATGGGTCAAAATCCTGTACCCCCAGTGAACATCCCAATCCCCACTAAAATGGACTAAAATGGGTGGTGCACCTGCCCCAAAATGGTACCATTGGTTCTGACCCACAGTCAAATATGTATCTTGAGATATCTAACCTCTCAAACGCAAGCTGACAAAGCATCTGCTGAAGCCAATGCCTGGCCATCATCGCTAACATCATCAAAACAGCAGTGGTTGAAAGAAGGCAGCACATCTAGACTAGGTCCTCCAGTGGAGAGGTTAGAATAAGGGTGCCCTTCTTTCTGTAGCCTATTTTAGTAGGGGAACCCTCCCCCAAGAAAGGGTGAGAAAGGGCACCTAGCTGGGGACCTAGCAGAGTTTGACTGCGAGAACATCGTGCAACGAAAAACTGGAATGTGAAAGCAATGCAAAATGTGATATCCTAACATGACTTAAGACATATGTGATGTGCAAGGAAACGTCAAACATGCAAGAGGAATGATGGAACGGCAGAATTGTTGAAGAGCTGATAATACCGAACAATCGCTGCTACAGTGGCAAACAAATGCATTGTTTTTGTTTTTTGGCGTATACATAAAGATGTACTGCAATATATATATATATATATGTTTTCTGTATGTGTATCTAGGGTCAGTAATGCGCAAGGCGCGTAACATTTCAGCACAACTCGGTAAACTCCTTCCGCTCTCCGCGAACCGCCAATGACCGAATTGTTCGATCGGTGCATGAGCTGTCCAAACTCAAGATGTTGGTTCATCTGCTCTTCCAGCAAGGCTTGCTGCTGCAGAACCAGCGCGTCCATTTAGTTCAGCAAGGGAGGGAGTAAGCATCAACCCCGCTGCGTGAGCATCTGACATTGAAAACTTGAGCATCCAAAACCGAGGACAATCTGACCAAAAACATGGTTGGATCACCCCCCTGGCTAGAACAATTGTTGGAACAGTCGTTAAAACAGTCTCTCTTTGGTTTCCTGGGGGCCGGGATTCGGGATTGGCTTGTAGCACGGTTTCCAGGCGCAGCATCACCAAAAAGAGCGTGATCGACAAACATTAAACACTGAAAATACGGAGACACGTGTTGCCACCAACTCACTCACGCAGGGGGCCAAGAATTGGTGGTCTAAGCCACGTTTTGCAACCAGCCCACTGAACAAACCAACGTTCCAGAAACTGCTGCTTTAAACATCATCTTGGTTAGAGGCAGTGCTTAACTTCTCCCGCATGTTCTTGTTGAAGCCACGACGTGGGTCTCTTTGAGGCGACTCCATTTCTCTGGGTCTAAGCGGAAGCCGAAAAGGAAAACCACATTCTTCATGCCCCCCCCAAAAAAAAAGAAAAAGAAAAAAAACACGGGACCTCCCTCCCCCCCCAAAAAGCAAAACAAGCAAACAAAACAGCACGCACCCATATTAGGAGGCAGTGTTTTTGGAAACTCGTTCTGAAAGGTACTGCTTTTCGGCCACGAGGGAGCCCTCCTCCACCAGCTCAGCGCGGAGGGTCTTCAGCTGCAGCTGCATCTCGTCCACCAAGTCCCGGTGGAGTTGCTCCAGCGTCATGCCATCCCCTGCCCCGTTCGCACCGAGACCCGAGACCCGAGAGCTCGGGTGTGAAACACGCCGGGAGACCCGAGGAGAGATCCCAGGATTTGTTTGGGGGCTCCCAACTTTCCGAGCGGTCTGGGTCGTTTTTTCCCGAAAGCATGGCGAAGGGTTCTTCCGCTGGGTTCACTTGAGTTGTTCTCATGAGAGTCATTACAAGGTGTCATTGCAAGGAATCATCATCATGAAAGTCATTGCAAGGAGTCATTGCAAGGAGTCATTGCAAGGAGTCATTGCAAGGAGTCATTGCAAGGAGTCATTGCAAGGAGTCATTGCAAGGAGTCATTGCAAGGAGTCATTGCAAGGAGTCATTGCAAGGAGTCATTGCAAGGAGTCATTGCAAGGAGTCATTGCAAGGAGTCATTGCAAGGAGTCATGCAAGGAGTCATTGCAAGGAGTCATTGCAAGGAGTCATTGCAAGGAGTCATTGCAAGGAGTCATTGCAAGGAGTCATTGCAAGGAGTCATTGCAAGGAGTCATGGCAAGGATTGCAACTTGCACTTGACTCCTTGCACTTGCAACTTGCATGCACTTGCAACTTGCACTTGACTCTTGCACTTGCACTTGACTTGCACTTGGCTCCTTGCACTTGGCTCCTTGCACCCCTTGCACTTGCAACTTGCACTTAACTCCGTGCACTTGCGACTTGCACTTGACTCCATGCACTTGGCTCCTTGCAACTTGCAATGGCTCTCATGACTCCTTGCAATGACTCCTTGCAATGACTCCTTGCAATGACTCCTTGCAATGACTCCTTGCAATGACTCCTTGCAATGACTCCTTGCAATGACTCCTTGCCATGACTCCTTGCAATGACTCCTTGCAATGACTCCTTGCAATGACTCCTTGCAATGACTCCTTGAAACAAGCAAGGAGTCAAGTGCAAGTTGCAAGTGCAAGGAGTCAAGTGCAATTGACTTGCGAGGAGTTAAAATCTCTTCTTAGGGCGGCGGGGTAGTGCCGACGACACTACACGAAAATCGACCCTCTGCGGGGATCGGCGTGGTCGAGGTGCAAAAACCCATGGTTTTTTGCGATTTCTAACCTGCTCGCGCGACCCTCTGCGGGGATCGGCGTGGTCGAGGTGCAAAAACCCATGGTTTTTTGCGATTTCTGCTGCTCGCGCGACCCTCTGCGGGGATCGGCGTGGTCGAGGTGCAAAAACCCATGGTTTTTTGCGATTTCTGCGGTGCTCGCGCGACCCTCTGCGGGGATCGGCGTGGTCGAGGTGCAAAAACCCATGGTTTTTTGCGATTTCTAACCTGCTCGCGCGACCCTCTGCGGGGATCGGCGTGGTCGAGGTGCAAAAACCCATGGTTTTTTGCGATTTCTGCTGCTCGCGCGACCCTCTGCGGGGATCGGCGTGGTCGAGGTGCAAAAACCCATGTTTTTTGCGATTTCTGCGGTGCTCGCGCAACCCTCTGCGGGAATCGGCGTGGTGGAGGTGCAAAAACTCGAGGTTTTTGCGACTTTTGTTGTTCGAACTGGTCTTCGGGAGTTGTCTCGTGGTTCGCGCGCCTGCTCCCGGAACCGGCGGGTCGCGGGTTCGATTCCTCCCTGGTCCGCGGGCGGGCGTCGCAAGATGCAACTTGCATTTTAAAGCAACTTGCGCAGAGCAACTTGCGCAGAGCAAGTTGCACAGAGCAACTTGCGCAGACCAACTTGCACCGACCAGTTTGCGGAGAGCGCCTTGCCTAGAGCAACTTGCGCAGAGCAACTTACGCAGAGCAACTTGCACAGAGCAACTTGCACAGAGCAGCTTGCACAGAGCAACTTGCAGGGAGCGCAATTTGCACAGAGCAACTTGCAGGGAGCCACTTGCAGGGACCAACTTGCCGGAGCAACTTGCGCGGAGCAACTTGCGCAGAGCAACTTGCACAGTGCAACTTGCGTAGAGCAACTTGCGCAGACCAACTTGCACCGACCAGTTTGCGCAGAGCACCTTGCCTGGTGCTGTCTCGCGCTTGCTTCACGAATGCTTCGTGTAGGGAAAAAGAACGCATCCTGCAGCGTTGGGCCGACCTCGCTTGCGATGTTCTGCTTTCGGGCCAACCGTGGTCTAGTTTTTTTTTGGTTCTCCGTAGGTATCCGGGAACTCAACTTGGTGACGGCTCCAGTATGGGGGTAAGGAGAAACCACGGCAGGGGAAACCGGAAGAAACCACGAATTTAGGGAAAACCTGGTAGAAATTTCACATGACAGTATGGATGGACGAACTCCTGCACCACTTTGAAGCCTTGGGAAACCATTGTTTGTTGGTATTTATGGGGAATCATCAGAAGCCAGGGTTTCTTAGGTGGTGCGAGAAGTGGATTTCGCAACCATCCACAGTATTTTGCACTATTTGTAGACATGACCCCAAAAGGTTAAGCTGATGTTGACTCCATATTTGAATCAACCCCAGTGTATCAAAAAGGGGGCGTCCCTGGGTTTAGTTGGGAGTAGTATGAGCTCTTTTCAAAAACCGGATCCGTTTCCCAGGGTTTGGCTGGTTTTCTAGAAAGATCCGGATGCCTTGAAAGAATTGGGAAGGTACCCTTAGAAGAGTGGGTCTACCATTTGTTGGAGTTGGTAAGTACCTGTCTTTTGTTTTTTGTTTTTTTAAACTGGGAAACTAAGCCCAACATGTTGGAGGGCCATCTCAAAAAAACACCGAATGGACACCAAAGGTACCCCTAGAATGATTGGTAGCTTCGGGAGCATCAGGAAATCACAAATTCGCCATGCGCTTCGATGTGCTTCGGGACCTCCCCCGCGAGCCCTGCGAAAAGTGAAGACTGGTTGGTGGAGAGGGAAACAAACCCTAAAAGCCCTGAACCCTAACAAAACCCTAACAAAACCCTAACAAAACCCTAACAAAACCCTAAACACCCTAAAAACTCTAAAAAACCCAAAACCCTACACCGACTTGTTGAAAGGGTTCAGAAAGGGCAAGAGTTGACAACGCGTTCATCTCTTGAATGAACAACCACTGCTGAGAATCTATGACGGGCCATTCTCACAAGAGTCTGTTGCCACGCTTGTTCACGCTCAATCGACTAAGAACTCCGAATGCCCCTTGTTGATGACGCACTGGCAGCCTTCCGGGTGGCATATTCCACGATTCGATCGTGCTATAACCTCTGTGGCCAGGAAAAGCCGAAAGCTAGAAAGAGTCACCCATGTCCCTCCCAGCACCATAGGCCACTGACATGTTGAAAGTACTTCTACCCCCCCCCCCGCATCCCAATCATCCATCCAGGCCCTGGAAGGCTAAACAGAAATAACCACCGTGTCTCTTACTTTGAACAAGAAAAACTTGCCGAGAATTCTTGGAAGGTCATCAACGCGCCCTTTCGTTTGTCGTGTTTTTGCCCAACCCGAGGTGCGAATGGCTCCGACACAGGACCTTGCGGTTCCAACGTGGACTGTGCAATTGGAGGTTGATCAATACTCCATGAAGGGCCCCCAGTTTTGAACATAAATAACCTTTCCCATTGAGTGGGAAATGTCATTTTTCGGTGGTTTTCCCCGATGGTCATCCTATCTAAAGGACCTGTTGATCAACCCCAAATTTAGCACAAAGGCGCAATACTGAGTCACCTATATCAAGGAAATCCAGCGGCAAGCCGAATTTTTGTCGACCGCTAAAACGAAACATGGCGATGGGTCAAAAGCCCATACACCGAGTGAACATCCCAATCCCCACTAAAACAGACTAGGATGGGTGGTGCACCAACCCCAAAATGGGATCCCAAAACGGTTTTGAACACAGCCACATCCCCGCCCCGCCGCACCCCGCGCCGCCCGCGCCTTTGGGGGTGCTGGGGGATTCACCGCGGAAGCGCGACAGCTGCTTCATGGCGAGCCGCCGGGCCCCGCGGAAGACCGCCACCGGCGAGGCTTTTCTCGCGGTTGAGCCAAGGTTTCTGGCCGAGCCCTGTTCGCGCATGTCCCCCCGCCCACGTAACGTGGCGAAAAAGAAGTCAAAGTCAAAGCCCTTTCCAGGAGGAAGAGCGAACGGTTTGAAAACGATATTTTCTAAAATGAACTTTCAATACGGGCTTGGAACGCTGTAAATGTGAGGAACTAATCGGTTTGCACGGTTTGCACGGCATGTCCTCCCCAAATAGTGGACAAGCAATCATTTTGTCAGTTGCTGTGTTTGAGCAACCTGTGAGCAACTACTCAACTACACGTGGGATGTCAACCTGCACTGTTCCAAACAAGTTTTCTTCCAGATGCAAATTCCAGATTTCGGTTCACTCACGCTTAACACACGTCTGGTCAAAATGCGGACATAATCATGTTGTTTATGCAATGTAAAGGAAATGCCAACAGATTCCTTCACCGGCTTCAAAGGATGTGCTTGGGATGGTAGTTCAATCCCAAAGGCCAAGAGGAGGCTTCGCAGCGGCTTCGATGCTAGAAACTCTTGAAAGCTTTGGACCTTGGCCCTTGTTGACAGCCACAATTTGGCTACGGATCCAAATTCTCATCAGATAGTCTAGGTCCTCCAGTAGAGTGGTTAGAATAAGGGTACCCTTTTTTCTGTAGTCTATTTTAGTAGGGGAACCCTCCCCCAAAAAAGGGTAAAACCTAGTAGTAGGCGGGGTCTTCCTTGCAATTGGCGTCGTGGAATTAGGGGCTTTGGCCCCCGGCATTTTTGGAAAACGATAATTCCATTGGATCGTTCTCCAAGTGGCAAGTCAAAGGTTCAACTTGTGCTTCAAACAAGTATATAGTAAGAGTTCACGAAAAATTCCCAAACACTCCATGTATGCAAACGTCTTGCCCACACATGTACCCTCCAAATGGGTCAAATATTGGTCTATGTATGGGTGTATCTCTTTTCGGAAGGCACCATTTTTTGAGATTGTTTGCAGGAAATACAAGAACTCCATCCATTTTTCTGATTGCCCTAGTTTGAGACAATCATGTATTTAAACACAAATATATAAATAACAAATACATAAACAAATAACTATATAAATAAATAAATAAATAAATAAATAAATAAATAAATAAATAAATCAAATAATTCAAATAAATCAAACAATAAATAAATAAACAAATAAATAAATAAATAAATAAATACATAGGCCCCAGAGGCCCCATGCCTAGATGTCCTCTCTAGACAACAGACTATCAGTCAAATTGTCCTTTGCTCATATACAGACCACCAAGCCAAAGCTCAAGCTATGTGGGTGGTTGAGTTTTGCTTGTTTTAAGGGGATCCCCCCCACAATGGGCGGTGTTCGTTTTTGGTTTCCTCTCAAAGCCCCACAAGAACAGCAGGGCCCCGGTCATTGGATGCCTAAGCAGTGGGGACCCGGGCAGCCATTCCGTGGGCTTGCAGCAGAACCAGCTGTTCCTGGAAAGGCGCGGAGCGTCGCATGACCGGTAAAGGGAGCAAAGCGAGGAAGGGAGGAAGGGAGGAAGGGAGGAAGGGAGGAAGGGAGGAAGGGAGGAAGGGAGGAAGGGAGGAAGGGAGGAAGGGAGGAAGGGAGGAAGGGAGGAAGGGAGGAAGGGAGGAAGGGAGGAAGGGAGGAAGGGAGGAAGGGAGGAAGGGAGGAAGGGAGGAAGGAGGAAGGGAGGAAGGGAGGAAGGGAGGAAGGGAGGAAGGGAGGAAGGGAGGAAGGGAGGAAGGGAGGAAGGGAGGAAGGGAGGAAGGGAGGAAGGGAGGAAGGGAGGAAGGGAGGAAGGGAGGAAGGGAGGAAGGGAGGAAGGGAGGAAGGGACGGGACGGGAGGAAGGGACGGGACGGGAGGAAGGGACGGGACGGGAGGAAGGGAGGAAGGAAGGAGGAAGGGTGGAGGGCAATAGTCATACCCTGCATCGACACGATAATTTGGGGAGGAACCATCCCTACTCCCTGATTTTGTATAGTGGAGGAGGGTGCACAACCTTCAATGTGCTTTGCTCCCTTTCCTTGCGCCCTCCCTCCCTTCCTCCTTTCCTGCCTTCCTGCCTTCCTTCCTTCCTTCCCTTTCTTCGCGACGGGAAACCAGGAGATACGCGGGGAACTGTTCCCCAGCAGTCAAGTCAGGCGCCCAGTGATTTCCATGCCCAAGGCCGAAATGATTAAACAAAAATCTAGCAGCTCCACATTTAAGTGACTTGTTGAGAACAAACACATGAAGCCTCCACGCAAAGATCTTGCCTTTTCGGTGTTTTATTACAAAGGCCACCTGGCGAACGGTCAAATGGCTTCGTCTCACCCTGGAAATTCCCTCTACCCAACGGCACCCGATGAGCAGACATAAGGGAAACCGCAAGGCAAACACACCTGTTTCTTTTGTTTGGGGGAGGGGTCCGCTAAAAACAAGCATATCAAATGGGGCTGGGCTCGGAATGCTGAGGTGGCCGCGTATGGTGTCCCAGCCGGATGTCAACCTTCAGAAGGCCAAGGCTGACAGGTCGCCACAAAAGAAGCTGTGCAGGGAATGAGGGAATGACCCGTATAAATCATCCCTTCTGGTTTCCTTTAATGGGAGCCCCCACCTATCGCACCAGCAAGAAAAGAAGCTGGGCGTACACGAGGCAGTTCTCTGTTTGCGGCGTTGCTGTTGAAAGGACACCAGCATGAAATCAACCTCGATTCTGACCCATACGTGTTGTTGCAGTTCATAGGTAGCCCTAATTAGTTGCTTTTCGAAGCGATGAACGATACACATAGTTTTTGATGGCTTTGCTCGAGAGTTGGAATGACGGCAGGGTGTGATCTTGGGGGCATGGTGGGGATTCACATCCAGCCACTGAGGTGGCTCGTTGGGAGCAAAAGGCCAGGTGATGTCAGAGACGCATTCGCATGGGGCCGAAGGTCGCGGATGCAAAAGCAACTTTTGCTCTAAAGAGGCAGTAGTCTGTTGGCACTGGTCGGGGGAGGGGGGTCTTATGAAGGCAGACTTTAAATCAACTTGAAGAACAAGCCCTGAGCTCAGGACTTGTTTCACCTTCACAGACTGGCAAGGTGAGCACACAGCTCATAACTGCCTGTGCTACCCTACTCGCCTAAATTTAACCCGGGCAATGCTTTAAACTTAAAATCACCAAAGATGGAAATATAGTCAGCTTCCCACTAATTGGCGTTTTGGATTGGTGGTTTGGTGGCTCAGGAGGGGTTTCCCATCTACGCTCCACAAGAACCAGGGGTTCAAGTCCAAATCCAAACCATCCATTCAAACCACCAATTCAGGATTGCCTGATATAGGGAGCCTTCTCCCTTCTTATGAGGCAAGCCTGAAAAGTCTCACTCCGATGTCCCATCCCAGTATTCAACAGATCTCGATTGACGTAGGAGTGCGGGATTGCTGGACACAGTCCCCGTTCGTTTTCATGATACCACTGGGTCCCCCTTTTCAGAGACACGGCAGTCCGCCATACATCATTTTGAAGTCCAACCCGCTCACCCCAAATCTGTTTGTCTGTCCTCCGTGTTTCTTTTTGGGTCAGTGCTCGGGTCAAATTGTCTTAAACAGCCAGTTGCCTTTGCAATTTGTTGAAGCATGTTATGACCTGGCCTCATGATTCTATCATCCGAGTCGTCCTTCCAGTGGCAGGCTCAAGAGAAACCAGTCCAAATAATTCGCTGTTTCGGTGTTTCTTCCCAGTCAAAGTCTGGACTTGCGATGTTGACTCCAGGATTGCTTCGTTCCAGTTGCCTTCCGCCCATTTGCAAGTCAAGGACCTTCATGGTGCCATGGACCGAACCCAAAGCCAAACGGACCCCTCCTTTGGACACTAAAGAGCCTGTTTTGCAGCCAAGAACCTCCAAACAACTTCCCTACTGTCCGCTAATATGGAACCCAACTGAGCCGTCCTGGAAAACTATTTTCCTTTAAAAGGTACTATTTCCCTGGCGGTTTCCATGGCAACGTGGACAGGAGGCTACCACTAAAAAGCAGGAGGTTGCAACAGTACAACATAGACTCTAAGGCTCCATTTGCTTGCGTCCCCTGGAAGAGGTCAATATATGTCCACTAGTGATGGATTCAGGGGGGACTAACAAACAGTCTTAAGCAAATTGAAATAAGTCTTCACCAAATTGGACGGCTTATTTTTTGTCCGAGGGGCGCCGTAGAACATGTTGGAGCCTTCCCGCGAGAGCGAGCGCAGGTTTCGGCCTGAATGGGCCGAGGTGAGAACCGGATTCTCAGATTTCGGGAATGCAGCTCACATGTCCGATGTATTACGCATAAAGCATGTATATATGTTCCAGGCCGTGGCCCCCCCCCTCCCCCCCCCAACCCCCCCCCCCCCTATATTTTTTTTTTGATCCGCCGACAACAGACAGCGTGTTGGACACAAAAAATGGTCCCCTGTTACCCCTCCCCTAACCCCTTTTGCAGGGGCAGCATTTCAGACTGTTGCGGGGGGGGGGGGGGGTCCACGTACCACGCGGTGATTCGAAGACGCTTCACTAAATCTGTTCATTGTGCGGGCTTGCGCAACTCAGTTTGTCAAAAACATTGGGGTGTTCGATTCCCCCCGGGTGCGCTTTCGCATCCTCAGCAGCTCCAGCGGCACATCGCCAGCATCACCTGCATCATCCGCATCAGCGCCTGCCAAGGATGGGGATGATGCAAGTGATGCTGGGGATGTTGCCCATGCTGGGGAAAGGATCTCAACAGCGAAAGGGGGGGAAAGATCTCAGGGAGGAAAGGGAGAAGATCTGGGGAAAAAATGCCTTAAGGGGGAAAGGGGGGAAAAGATCTTTGGGAGGAAAAGGGAAATCTTTCTCGGGGGGAACAGGCCCTAAGGGGCAATGGGGGGACAGGATCTTAAACGGGAAAGGGGGAAAAAGACTTTGGGAAGAGAAGGGTGGAGATCTTGGGGGGAAAAGGCCTTAGGGGGGAAACGGGGGAAAGGATCTTAAGCGGGAAAGATCTTAGGGAGGCAAAGGGAGACGAACTCAGGGAAAAGGACTTAG